ACCTTGGGCGCCACGACGGAACACTTACAACCCGTCATTTGCAACACTGTTGGACACGCAACTACAATCGTCAGAGAAGAGACGATCTACGCAAGACTTCGGGCAATAGACGAACGTGACGGACGACATCGTCGTGGAACCCGCAACCAAACAACAACGTACTACGCCACCTCCACGACTTCCGTCGACATCGACGTCAAGTCCACAACCACTACCGGATAGCCCTATGGCTACTTCACCAACCGGACAGCAACGGCCACCACTACCAGCACCACCTAGACAAGCACTGCGACGCTTGACTCCGGGAGAAGTAATGCGACCAACTAAAGCACGAGACAACGAACTACCTTCCAATCTCACAACATTCACAACTCATCTACAAGGTGGACTATGACATGGGCAGGTTCACTGAGATCTACAGCTTGAAGAACAACTACATCTGGAACTACCACATGCCCTTGTTCCGACCTGAGCTACTTCACTACCTCAACAACCACGAACAACTACATGACTTCCAACACAAAGCAATCACTACAATCCTTTGCAGAAGCACCCACTACTCTGGATTCACACTACTCACAATGACAAACCTCACTGCGCAACAACGACTGCAACTTCACCACATCCTCCGCAACTACCAACACCAGGTAACACCACCAGGGGTCGACGACAGTCGACTACGTGGTGCGCCGGACTTCACCGAGCACTTCGTGATCAACTACTTCGCTTCGCTTGTTTGAACCAACGACTGGAGCAGGTACGCAACTACCGGCTTCAACATTGGGGGACTACATGTTTGAGCTAGGGGCTTGGCTGCAACTACAGGTGCTTCCTCACCAACTCCGCTCAGTCCGCCTGCATGCTGGACTGAGACCTGAACAGCGTGAGCTACTGAGAGTAGCATAGATGAACAACAAGAGTTTTCATCACTACTGGCAATCCTTTGTTTTTACTGCAGTTGGAAAGATACTACAGAAAGATCTTTCAACTGAGGAGCCGTGTCAAACTACATGCTTCACTACTTGCATTCGTGTTGCATGTATGTACACTACCGCAGGACTAGGAGAAAACAAAGGCTTCAGCAGACTACATTTGTTTCTGTTAACAACAACAGCATTGCACTTGCACTTGTAGTAATTGTTACTCCGATTTTTAACGGAAGGGAGAGAGAGAGGGAGAGAGAGAGAGAGAGAAAAGAGGCTCCTTGCTTAGGTTCTACGGGCTTCGGTTGAACCACTCCTTAGTTCGTGGAGTGGCTGCACAGAGGCGGTGCAGATGGGCTGGAAACAAAGGGAACCATGGGCGTTTTTTCTAGGAAGCAGCCCTTTGCGGGGTGTCCTTGTTTGTTGTTGGAAGCAGAAGTGCGACGTGAGGCCGCATCATTCTCTGACATTGCGAGGGACTGCATGCTTGCGGCCAGATACATTGTGGCGGAGTACGATGGGTCGCAGGATGAGGAAAGAGAGGATCCGGAGCGCTGAAACGCAGTGTGCTGCGGAGTGTGATGCTGCAAGTGGATGACGTGCCTGTTTAACGGCATTGGTTCATCTGAGATCGCGGGCTGCCCCTCCATTTGAATCTTCCGCTTGGTTGGCCTTCTGTTGGGTGTCCTGTTCAGTTTGGGCATTTTCCCTTGTCAACGTCCCAGTTGTAAGTGTTCAAAAGGAAACCTTTTTTGGGGATCAGGCCTATTTTTTTGGGAAGCGGTCCGATTTATCATGGGCTATGAGAGAGGGCCTTTTGCCATTTCCCAGGACCTGGCGTGGGGGGCGATGCTGGAGGCACCACCTCAAAAGGTGGGGTGAAGATGGCGAGGTTTTGGGGGGCGTTTGGGGGGAGCGCACTTTGCCATGCGTCTGTGATTTTCGCACCCTGGAAATGGTGGGTGGACCTAAATCCCATTGTAAATGTGATGTCCACCAAAGGTCCACCCAATTAAACCGCATACCCATGTAGAGCAACACACCTTTTTGGGACTCCATGCTGAAACTCAGGATTCCCTGTTGGAACGGGGGTGAGCGCACAACTTAGGTCCAAGAGAGGGGTCTTTGGTGAGCCCGGACGCGGTCTCGCCTTTTGCGAGGTGCAGCCGAAAGTGAAGGTGGCGCCACCCCAGCCTGAGCCGGAATCGGTGCCACCAAAGGTGCGGATGGGCAAGGTGTATGCGGAGGAGGACCATGGCGGGTTGGTGACTTCGGCCTGAAAAAAAGCTACGGAAAGAGCACCAAACAGACAAGGGTAACAAAGGCGGGATCCGCACGTGGAAGTGTGCTCTCCGAGTCCCCTCAAAATAGGCATCGGTTTTTTGGTTTTCCCTTAGAACCACCCCTAAGGGATCCGAGACTCAAACTGAACGCAGGGATCTTGATGATGATTTTACTTTCTGGCAGGTGGAACTGCAACATCTGAACAAAGACGAGTGGTTCGAATCTGCATAGGGAAGTGACGAACAAAACCCTTTTGGGCCGCAGTTTCGATTGGGCTTGCCAGTACTGGAGCGCAGTGGGGCTGGACACCTCCGCTTGGTCGAATTTTTCGACCATCGCAACGGTTCTCGTCGAGGATAACATGACCATGGCGCATTGAAGCAAAGGGTCAATATTGCCCGATAAGTCGGCCACATTCCCCGCAGCCACCGCAAGCTCCACAGTCTGGGTCAATGGGTCAAGCGTAAAAGCCACACACTTCTAGGGGTTGATTCCCCGTTCTTTTCAACCAATTCTTTTCAACCATCGTCCTTTTCGAAAACCAGTTGTTCCCCCCCCAGTTTTGGGTGGATTTTTAGAAAGGAGGATGCCCGGAAAGAATGAGGAAGGCAGCCCCAGAAACATTGAGCCCAAAATTACCTCGAGAGAGACACCTACCCTCTGCTGAATAGTGATTATGGCACATACACCCCCTGCAAATTCACACCCACGGAGATTCCTTTGGCTGGGTTTAGGGTTCAGCTTTGCCTCGTAGGTATTATTGGGGTCTAAACAGGGATTTTCTAAAAACGGCAGGATTTCTGCGTTTCATGTTAATGTGTCAAGGACCCCAAACAGATTCAAATCAGAGAGTTCCCATTGCTTGTAGAGGACAATCATGTGCTGTTCGCATCCGAAAGGAACCCATTTGTTAGAGCCCATTCAACGCGTCATCCAAATCCCGCACGTTCGAACCGAGCCCTGAGGACAATGGGACCAGTGAGGTCCCTGCCAAAAAGATCCAATCCAGTGCGTCCCGAAGCAGCGGAAATAGCAGAGCTGCACGCGCTATATCTCCAAGGACCGAGCAAACACTTGTTTGCCTTCTGTGAAGTTTTAGTGGTGTTTTCTTCGATATGAAGACCAAATGACCATGTGGACAAAGTTGAAACCCGGGTAGTTTACGGTTAGTAGGAGACGCTTCTGACCACAATATAGATTCCTGTTGATTCGTTCGCATGAGTAAACGCTAATATAGGGGGCCAAATATTTTCATACACACACACACAAACACGCATCATTCTCTTGTGATCATGACTTAATTTGGTTTTTGAGTACCTCGGAACCCCAGAACCCCATTCATTGAATGGGGTTCTGGGGTTCTGGTACTCAAAAACCAAATTTTAGGCCCTTTCTTGTGCAAGCTTGACCTTGCCTTTGACTCCCAGGACTGCATAAGACCTCTGAATCGAATTGACCAAATGTCGGTGACTGCAAAATGCAGTGCCGAAGCTTGCCAGGAGAGGCTGCGTGGATGGACAAAAGTAGGCACCAACCGGAATCCAGCAATTCTTGCTTGATTTATGGTGAACCAGCCACCAACGGGGGGCCAACGTCAAGAACAGGATGTTCGCATTCAGCCTCTCAAGTGTTTAGAGGAGATGACGTACCTGTAAGGTGTGTGCCATTCTCCAGCAGTGCTTGCTGCTCGCGTGTTTGAAGAATCCGAGCTTTTGAAGCAAAGCAGTTGAGCAGCGCCCAACTCAGCCAGCAAAACCGAGTCAGGTGGAGTAAGGGATAGTCCCCACCGTCAAATATCCACCCTTTTGAGTGTTTGCCATGGTCATCAGGGCCATTTTATTACGTGCCAGGTTTTGAGTATGACTCACTCCTCCAGAACCCCACCCAAAGATCCAGAGGAAACATGAAAAGAGATGGACATGAGGTTGGTCTCTGAAATGAAAGATGGTTGAACAGAAAGGAAACCGGCCCCTACAATTTCAGTTGTTTTGAGTGTTGTCTTGTATGCTCTCTTGTTGATAAGTGCCTAGAACAGCTTCCTACAAGTAGAAGTCGGCCCTGACTTTTGCGAGCTTGCGCCCTCCAAGATGGTTTTTGAAGCCGCCGAAAAGTGGTACTGGGTCAGCTAGGACATGCCATTCTCCAAAAACATCGCTAGAAGCACATGCCTTGTTCCACTGGCTTTAAGGGGGCGCTGCTTTTTTTGGACTCAGCACCATTTAACCTGTACAGACACTTGTCGTTCCCGCGTGCGCCTTGGGTGCTGCCTGTAGCAATTGCTAAAATGATGTTGCTCCGCAGACTGCGGTCGAAAGGGCGGCATTCTGTATCTGAGGGCTAGAGTGCATACAGTACCTCTGCTTCACACCCTGCATACCTCTTATCTATTCCAAGGAATCCTGTATGGGGCATGTTTCAGGGGCACCGTTCTCTCGGCTTCGGCAAATGGTTGAGCCCGACTGAAACCAAGGTTTGAATCTCAGGACTTCCTGCAGCTTTTCACCCGTTTTTTGATAGCAAGTTTAATGCTCTGCCAGGGCATTGTTTGATTCTCAGATGAACTTTCACCCAGCAGTTCCCCCGTTTGAAGGTATGAAGCCCTGTTTCCTGGCGATGTGGCTTGGGACGCGATCTCTAGAATGTCTTTACAAGCTAAACTCCAAAACAAATATAGCTCTTGCTCGCCAGTCCCCAGCACCGTTCCTTTGCAGAATTGTCAGCTACGCATGTTTTTTCCGGTGCACTCGGATCGACTTGTGAGGGCAGTGGCTGATCATTTGCTTGGGAACGGAGGTATGCAAGCCCACGACGCGCGCGCTCTCTTGCAGATGCTGGAGAGTGGAGAAGGGCTGACCTCGGCAGAGGCGTGGCGTATGGCGCGAGGGGCGTATCTGGTCTTTGTCTTGGGAGCCCTAAAGGAAGTCAGCCGCCCGTGTTTTCTCATTTTTGCGTTCTTATCCTCGTGCTTGAAATGAGCAGCTATTGGTCACCTGCCTTTTGGTGGAGGGTGCCCCGCTCATTCTGGTGGGTTTTTCAAGCAGGGCCTCGCGAACAAACTGGCTGCATGTGGCGTAGAGTCCGCTCAGTTAAAAGACGCGGGTTTATCGGGTCCTGAAACGGGTTTGCTGTCCGGGTAGTGAAAGGAGTCCTAGGAAAGGGATCCTCGAAAGACAGACATGAGCTTCAACGGCCAGAGTGCGGAAGAAATGTTCATAGCCCTTTCAGAGCTGTTTGGAGACATGTTCAGAGCCCTGGACAAATTCAAGCATGTGAGCAGGTGACAACCCCCCCCGAGAAAGGTGATTGGTTGCCATCAATCGCCCTTGTTTGGAGGGCTGTGAATGCCTTGGATTGTGTGAAATCCTCAGAGATACATGGGTGTGTCTCAAGATAAGTGTACGGGTCAAAATTAAACAACCAGCGGACCGCTGGTTTTAGTCCATGTTTCCATTTGTCAGTGTTCCATTTTGGGTACGCATTTTTTTGACCTGCACACATAACCCCCTCAAATTGGGTGCTTTCCCTTTTGTTTCCCTACCCTGAACAATCCGACGAGGCAGCTCTACCAGCCTTTTGAAGCCCAGGAGAGAAGCTCGGACTGGTTCTGCGACTTCGTGCGAAGTCTCAGGCAGAAGGGCAGAAGCCGGGGTTTTCCCGAGGAAAAAACGTGTTGTTTTCTTCCACATGCTGTATATTCCATACTCCTGCGAGTTTTGGGGTTTTGGTAACTTTGGTCGCCAGCTTCGGCCAAGATGCCCAGGAATTGTGAGAGACACAGCCTACATGTCGACCACAGCCAGGGGACGCATCATTTGCCCGTCAAAGGTTGGCGAGCCACATGGCTGTGTTGCGTGTTTCTCAAAGTCCAAACCTAGCAACTGGAGCAACCTTTTTTGTCCATCAGTATCCGGCAAGCTTTTTGTTCGACGGTTTTCCCAAACTTGATTTATCCGCCTTCGAGGGTTTTGAGGGAAGGCCATGGAAATGTTTGCGTTCCGCTCGCGGGTTCTCGCAAGTTCTCGCCAGGCTTTTGGTTGGCTCCGCGGGAAGCCAAGAGGGTTCCCCGGCCAAGGGCTCTTTTCGCGGATTCTTCTCTCCGATCGCGCCAAGCGGCGGGAGCCGGTCTTGGGGCGAAAGAAAGGAGCTCAACTAGGACCGAAGGCCAGAAACGATGCGAGGTTTCGCGCTAGCGCCACTATCACCTAGGTGTCGCCCAAAGGGGTGCGCCTGCGCCCCAGTGTGTGGTTCGCCGTTTTCGGGTCTGAGGCATGGTCAAAGGGAAATTGCAGCCAGAAAGATCGCGGCCTTGAGGAATCCAAAAGCTTTCGTTGATGAAAACGAGTTGTTTTCTTTCTGTTAGCGCCCTGCTAAAAGCAAAGTGAATCTGTGGGTGCGGAACTTTGATGTGATTTCATGCCCAGCAAGTCAAAACTGCCAATTCCAGGTAAAGTGAAGGACGTTGCTGGGGCCTTTCCGCTTCTGGTTTTCTCTCACAGAGGCCGCGGGCATTTGGTGCACGCCTTCCCGGGCTCGCTGCTGCAAGAGCCAGATCGCTCAGAGGGGTCAGGGCCGACGGGCGACTTGCAGCAGACTCTGTCGCAGGGCTCCTTAAGAGATCTCCATTTTGCCACCACTTGAAACGTGGCTTTTTCCACCAAAATGCTGTTTGCAAGGCAATGTTCAGGTGTATAATGTAAGGATCCCTGCTGCATCTTCTACAACCCGGGGGGGGGGGGTTCAGGGTCGGGCAGTGGGTCGCTTAGGCGTCGCGCGAATGGTTCGCTTAGGGATCGCGCAAATGGATCGCTCCGGGATCGCTTTTTGCAGAAGGCTTGTCGCGCATGCATGCGTGTTGATATGTTTGCTCGCGATGTATGTTTATATACGCGCATGCGCGAGCATGTATGCGCTTGTTTGTGCTTGTCGGCGTGTATGTCGCATGACATATGTGACGTGTATGTTTCATGACATATGTTACTATGTATGCTGGCGAGTCCATGTATGTGGTTGTGTGCATGCGTGTTGACATGTATGCCCTGCGGCGTATGCCCCAGAACCCGATGAATTTGCACATTAGGTTACAGAGCAGGCTGGGCTGGTTCAGTTGAGCGGGTGTGCTTATCATCCCCCCCACCCCACCCTCCACCCCCAGAAAGAGATGCATTTGCTGGGATGAAGCAGTTCAGCGGTTGTGCTTATCATGCCCCCATTTTGTTACAGAGCAGGCTGGGCTGGTTCAGTTGAGCGGGTGTGCTTATCATCCCCCCCCCACACCCCACCCCCCACCCCCAGAAAGAGATGAATTTGCTGGGATGAAGCAGTTCATTATCATGCCCCCCCCCAAACCAACCCCCCCCCCCGCAGAACCATGCTATTTTGTAATCCGGTAACAGAGCAGGCTGGTCTGCAGCAGTTGAGCGGGTGTGCTTACCATGCGACCCCCCCACCCCCTCCCCAGAGCCATGTTACTTTGTAATCCGGTAAAGGAGCAGCAGCAGTGAGCGGGTGTGCTTATCACCCCCCCCCACCCCCTCCGCAGAGCCATGTTACTTTGTAATCCGGTAAAGGAGCAGGCTGGTCTGCAGCAGTTGAGCGGGTGTGCTTATCATCCCCCCCCCCCCACCCCCTCCCCAGAGCCATGTTACTTTGTAATCCGGTAAAGGAGCAGGCTGGTCTGCAGCTGTTGAGCGGGTGTGCTTATCATCCCCCCCCCCCCCACCCCCGTCATCAATGAATGTGATCCCTAAGTGATCCGTGAATGTGATCCTCAAGTGAGCGTGTATCCCTAAGTGACCGTGATCCCTAAGTGAACCGTTTGAGCGATCCCTAAGTGACCTGTTTGCCGTCAGGGTGCCCTATGCTATGTTCTGTAGCCTGAACAACACGACTCAACCAGTTCTCCGGGTTCTCATCCCAGGTTCTACACCACGGATGGAAGTGGCACGTGTGTGGCGCAGGCGCACCGTGCATCGGGCGAGTGCTTCCAGGTACTATACCAGGTGAAGGAATTCACTTCGCTTTGCTCGTGAGTGTTTGTCTCCAGCGATCAGGTTTGACAAAAGCGCATGGTAGGTTTCCCGCGTAGCGGCTATGCGCGCATGCACGCCCAGGTTTCCCGCGCACACACATGCACATGGAGCCCCCTTCCCAAGGTCCCACTCCAAGAATCCCAAAACGGTCCTTCAGTTCCTCCAAAAGACGCAGCCAATTTATTGCTTGTTTGGGTATGGGTCAAAACTACTCACCACCAGGAGTTGACCCGCGGGTTTTTAGTTTCCATGTTTCCATTTAGGGCAAGTCCCATTAGGGGCGTGGAATATTAATCCATGGAATTTCCATGGGCAACGGCAGGACGTGTACCAGGGCCTGGGTTGTGCTGCCCTGGCGGACGCGGCCTCCATCCTGGTTGCTCGGTGGAAAGCGCGCTTCAGCAGGGTTTCCTTTTGGCATCACGAAACAACAGTCATTTGGGTGTGTCCCAGAATATGCTATGGACTTCCATTAAAACATGGTGGCCTTCCTTGATAATCCATGTTATGGACCCAGCAAGCCAGTGCTTGTTGCTGGTGGTGGGATGTATCACAAAATCGTACCTGGGCCATAACAGATTGAGGGGCTTTTGTTCGATTCGGATGTGAAGGTAATCACCGATCCGGACCCGAATCAGCAAAAGATCCTCACACCATCTCAAAATTAGGGATAGAGGGTAAATGGAAAACCATCCCTAACCTCCAAACCACCAATACAAGCCACTTATTAGGGGAAGCTGACCTGTGGGTGGTTTGTTTCCTTCCCTGTGGGGGGCCCTGCTTTGAAGACCCAAGTGAGAACCACACTGGTTGAAGATAGTGACAGAAGGCCTTTCTTTTTCTGGCCTTTCTACCTGACTTGGAGAGTTGCCCAACCCAGCTCCGCAGCAACACAAGTCGCAGCGGCTATGACGTTACATTGTCCGACTGCCTCAGACATGGGTGAGTGGGCATCCCCTTGTTTTCTGATGTGCGCCAAAGGGTCCCCATTTAAGCTGCATACCCCTTACGCAAGGTTTCCCCCGTTGAAGTTGACCTCCCATTGTTTCAATGAACCTTTGGTTTCCTTCGCATAACTTTAGATCTGGTTGCTAGAACAGGGATGCAGGACTTCAGCCCCCGCGGTGAACATTGGTTTTGTTCCTTTGGCGCCCCTGTCTTTAGGTACTAATTTTCCACCCTTGTGACGATCAAGTCTTTGGATCATCCCTGTTAGGCATTCCCCATATTTAAGGGTAGTCTGTAGGCAACGCCTTGTCGGTCTCATCTATGACCTTGTGGTTGAAATCGTTTGAGTTCCCCTCAGCCTGATGTTGCTGGCCATGGTTGCTGCCTATGTGTTTTTTCCTTTTTTTTTGGTCGTTTTTTAGGGGTGGGACCCACCTAAGTGGCCGGACCTTGTCGCCCTACCTGCAGACGTCATGCCCTGCTCGGCCAGGAGCTCCTGGCTGCGGATGGCCACGAGCTGCAGCTGGAGGCGGTGGAGGCGAGGCGCCGGGCCGTGGGGCGGGCTGGTCCGAGTTGGTACTGTTGCCGCCTTTCCGAGTTGGAACACCAAAATCAGTCTATTTTGTGGGGTCCAAGTTCCTATTCCGCACGGGGTTCCCTTGTCTTTCCCCTTTGGTCTCAGAGATCACGTTGTGGGACTTGACATGAGTTTCCTTGGGAGAGTGCGACCGCTGCGCTGCGAGGGACATGAATTTGGAGCCCCGTATCATATATATATATATAGTGTCAAAATAGGGGCACCCCCAAAATGGGTGGTCCAAGGTTTTCCCTTTGGCTTCCCTTTAACCCCAGAAAGTGCCTCAACAAAAACACCGCCACATAGAAATCCTCACGCCCGTCCAAGATGACAGTGCTCTTCCAAGCGCACGAGGCAGCGTATGTTTGTTTTGGCCAGGATGACCTTTGGCAGAACCACAGGGGGCGGCCTGTGTGCAGTGGTCAAAGTCTCATTTGCTGGGGATTTGTCGGGGACTATCATCAAGCCCTTGCTGTGGAACTTCGACAACCATATTAACTGATCACACCACTTTACGCGGTTCATGTCAACGGCACTCAAACCATGAGCCACATGACACGAGGTTTGGTTGTGATATCCAGCAGTCTGTACACAAGGAAAAAGCAAAAACTCACCAAAACCACTAGGACACATTCAGTTTCTCCGAACGCCTGGCGGATGCAACCATAGGCGTCCGTTTTAGGTCAGTTTGGTTGAACATAGATGGTTCCGCTGGTTTAGGTGGGTCTTGTTGAAACTTTTCACCAGGGCCATCTATTTGTCCCAAAGGAACCGCCATGGATGCAACGACTTAGGACCCCCTCCTGGCCGCAGCTCCCGGCTCCGCGCGCCAGGCCAGCTGCGCTGCCGGGGAGTTCTTCGTGTGGCGCAGGGATGAGGCGTGACGGAGTGGGCGAGCAGAGCAGGGAATCCGAGAGCTTCGAACAAAGTTTCGCGTGTTTCAAGGGGGAAGGTGGTGACCTCTCAAGTTCCATGAGTCCCGGTTTCCCTTTGGTGATCTCGAGGTAAGGAGGACAAGACCTGTAGAAATGCGGGCACCTCTCAACCAAATGGAGGAAGTCTTTCTGGAGCACAGAAATGCGATTTAAACCCCGGTCAACTTGGTGCCTTAGGTTTCCCCCAAGAATTCAGCTCCATGCAAAACGTGATCCCAGAGGTGCATCAAATTACCTGGGTTCCCATTCAAGAGAGGTGGTGTTTCTTAACGGGAGAAGCGCGGGATTTTGGGTAGATGATTCCTCTGATACTGGACTGGATGGACGAAATCCATGTCGCGTCACTTTGAAACCATGGTTGAAACCTGCTGCTTATTTTGGTGGGCAGGATTCCGTCCATCCACGGCCGGTCTGGTGGCAAATGTCGGATCAATCAACCTGGCAGATGGTTGGGGTGCGGTTCGTTCCCTGAAATGGGGGGCTCCTTCTTTTCAAGGTTTGTTCATGGTTGCCATCAGTGTGGTTCCTGCTTTGGTGTTTCTTCAAAGGGCAACCAAGGGAAACCGGCTCTTGGGCTTTTCTCCTATTTCTATGGGAGGACATCAGGGCCATTGCTTCAGTTCCCTACCCCAACCAGCAGAATCATCCGGGAAACTCAAGCCAGGGTCTCCCGCGTGTCCTTTTCGCTTCAGCGGGGCAAGTGCAGAAGGTGACACCATAGATCGCATGTTTTGCTTTGCTGCTTTATTCCAGCTGTCTTCGCCTTTCTTGGCCTTTTCGCGTCAATCAGGAAGATGCACCAGATTCTGCTGCCGCCTCCAGCTCCAATCTTCGCGCCGCATGTGTCAGATTCCTCCCATTCGTCAGATTCGTCAGGCGTGTATCGGTTTCTGCTCGAAGGGCATACAGAATTGAGTCACTCAATTATTATGCAACGCTCCTCAAGTGACGATGCTTCAACAAGACTCCCGGCATACGCTTTTCCTTGCCTGGCAAAGAATGTCGACTCCGAGTTTTTGTTTTCTCCGGGCTGTGGCTCGCTCGCTCGCTCGCTCGCAGGTGGTGCTGGGCTGCGGGCAGCTGGTGGCCCACGTCTCCGAGGGCCTGGTGGCGGAGCTGCGGCACCTGAGCTGCGCCCAGGGCGCCGGGGGGCCCGGCCCAGGGGCCCAGAAGGCCGCTGGATATTTCTTAGGCCAATTTGGTTGGCGTGTAAAGGGAAATTTCAAGACACCAACCACTTTGAAGGGTCGCAGTTTGAGAAGACCCCGGATCTTCATCAACCAACCAGTTTATTAGTGGGGGGTGCTTCTCCTTGGGTAAAATGTGGCTGGAATCAGACCTCTTTTGGAGGGCGGGGCATCATCACTTTTGGAGGGTGTTCCTGGTTTTTGCGGGGAATCATCACTTTCGGAAGGGAACACCCCATGTAATGAACTGGGGTTGTTTAATATTGGGTCAACATTAGCAAGCTGTGGCCTGCCCCTCCCCCCCAGCAAACAGAGGATAAAGAGGACACGAGGGAGGTAAGCTTTGCTAAGATGGAAAGGCGAAGAGGAAGAACGCGCGCGCATGCAAGCGCGCGTGCGGATAGATGCAGTTTTAGCACTAACTTAGTGCGGCAAGAACCCACCCTTTTGATTCTTTGCCACGGTTTTGGGTAGACCCTTTTTGTGGCAAGCCTTGAGAATGACTCGCATCAAAATGGGCTAAAGTGTTAACCGTAGGTGGTCGCTTGTCTTGACTCTTTGTAAGTATCCACTTGGGCCACCATTTTGGCTCAAGTGGACACTTCCCTTTTGTCTTGGAATCTGAAATTTCTCATTCCCCTCCTATCAAAGCCATGTACACCCCCGCCTATGCTGGTGCCGCGGTTGCAGAGGCTAAGGCGAAGGCGAAGGCATCCATGGCGAAGTACCTGGCAAGCCGTGTGAAAAAGGAGGAAGAAGGTTGGACCGTCCTGGCGGCTGAGGTCCCTCAGGCACCGGACGAACGGTTCTTCTCCAGCGCCGACGAGCTGGAGCAAGCCCCACTCATCCCAGCCAAGCGTAAGGCCGAGGACGAGCTGATGGCGGACTCCCCCCCTGGGGTGGCGCAGGTGCCGAAGGCCCTGACACGCCCCCCAGGGGCGTTCCTGGAGCTTCTCGACCCTCCAGAGCCGGATGTTCCCATGGAGGAACTCCTGGCGGAAGACGAGGAGGAGCCCCCGATGGAGGAACCCCTGGCGGAAGATGAGGTGGACCCCCCGATGTCCGACACCAAGTGGCAGGGACGCCAGGACCTTATGGAAAAGGCCAGGGCGCAGGTGTCCTCGGAGGGGGATGAGGACCCCGCAGCCCCCCCGCCAGGGGGAAGCGTCTTCACCAAGGCCCTCAAAGTCTCTGAGGGCCTTTACCAATTCAGTGCGGACCAGATGGCGGGCGACTTCCCGTGTTTTGATGGGACCACGGCCGCCAGGCTCCGACGACTGCAGGCCAAGGATGTCCAGCGGCTCTTGAGAGGCTTTGAGGGCCCCCAACTCAAGCAGGGGGGCCTGGAGCGCGTGGTGGAGGCGTTCTACATCGCCAAGATGAAGTATGAGCATGAGGCCCTGCTCAGCACCCCGGGACAGAAGGTTGGCAAGCGCGCTGGCCTGGGGTATGGGGGCCTTGAGAACCGCCCCCTGGGTAAGGAGCCCACATCCTGGATCTGCCCCTGCTGCACCATGCCCTGGGTGAAGAAGGGCGCCAGGAAGTGTATGGGGTGCGGCAAAAAGACGGAGCCCATCGACACGGCGTCCAACTTGGCCACCCTGGAAAATAAAAAAAACAAAAAAAAACAAAAAAAAAAAAAAAAACAAAAAAAAAAAAAAATAAAAAACAAAAAAAAAAAATAAAAAAAAAAAAAAAATAAAAAAAAAAAAGAAAACAAAAAAAAAAAAAAAAACAAAAAAAATGACAAAAAAAAACAAAAAAAACACAAAAAAAAAAAAAAAAAAAAACAACAAAACAAAAAAAAAAATGGCGCACGCAACGGCAAGCTGACAGTGGCGGCAATGACCCTCAGGCAATCGGTCTGACGGCGGCCCCCCCGGTCCCGCAGTGCCGATGGCCCTGAACAAGAACGGAAACCGGGCCCGCGACTCACAACTCAGCGCCTCGTGGATGTCACGCGCCGAAAGGCAGGGGAATACGAGCTGGCCACCGACCCGATGGCCTGCGAGAACCCGGACCAGGCCAGCTTCTCGGACTTCGTCCCCTCCTCGGTCCGGGCGGTGATCAGGAACTGCCCCATGGAGCTGGACGAGGATTTCCTGACGGCCCCAATGGGGGAAAGGCCCCCGTTGCCGGGCGCCAAGGAAGAGGGCCAGGAGTGCAGGGCCTTCCACCCGTCGGCAGTGAAGGCCTTCAAAATCCAGACCCGGCTCAACGCCACCACCATCGCCCAGGAAGAGGCAAAGAAGGCAGACCAGGTGGCAGCGGTGGAGCGATCTGCGGCGGTCCTCCACGAGCTCCAAGGAGGGGCCATCGATGGAGGAGGCGATGGGGGACAACTCCTCAAGAATTTGGACTTGGACCTTTTCCGCGAGAAACTGCTGGATAAGCTGGGCGCGGACTGGGGGAGGCCCACACCGGAGCTCCTCCAGGCCCAGACCACTGCGGAAGAGGCGAAGGCAAAGCACCAGGCCAGACAAGCGAAGGGCGCCCTCGAGACCAGAATGCTCGAGCCCATCAAGCCTCCATTCAGTGACTGCTCGAGCCCATCAAGCCTCCATTCAGTGCGTGGCCTAGCGAGATCCGAGTTGCCATTGAGACAGGGGTCTTTGAGCCGACCACGGCATGGAGGGATTTCAGCATGGACGACCTCACGTCCCTCACGGACTCCTACCTCGAAGCCAAGGCGGTCATCTCGCTGGGTAGGAACCCCTTTCCGGGGGCCCTCCTGGCAGATCTGCCGGATCTGGCGGGGATCCCCATTCCAACGGCGGGGGGCTCTGGTGCGGCGCGCCCAGGTGCCGAGGGCCCTGACAGGCAGCCCACCATCCCCCCAGCTTCGGGCTCTGGTGCGACGAGCTCAGGTGCCGAGGGCCCTGACAAGCCGTCCGCCACCCCGGGCGGCCTGGACACCCAGGACCCGGAGGTGCAGCTCGCGGTCCTGCGCTGGATGATGAGCAAGCGTGTCGGAGAGGTCCGCATCTTTGCGGGCCGCTGGGTCCGACGACCGGGGCCCTTACACGTCCCGGACTGGGCCAACACCCTCACCAAGGTGAATCCGGAGGCGCTGGAAAAGGGTACGCATCCCAGGAACCACCAGGCGGGTGGACTCCCATGGGCCAGGTACTCCGTTGAGGAGCTGAACCAGCAGGCCAAGGCGGGGGACCGACCATACCCCGAGGACCTGCGATCCATCTTCTGGGCGGCCCCCCACGATCCGGAGGAGGACTTCCACTGGACGCGCCAGATCTCGTCCTGGACACTCCCAGGCTTGCTGGGGATGTTTGGTCACAGCTTCACTCTGCGCCAGCTCTGGGGAGTCTGGGAGTCTCTGCCATTGCTTCAGGGCCCTAGGCAGCGGGGCCCGAAGAACAAGGCCCAGAATCAGATCCGCCTGGAAGGCTGGGACTGAAGGAAGATGCTCGGTGCTTCCTGAAGGAGGAGGGCCTTCCGCTTCCGCAGACAGGACCGGAGTGGCGCCTGGTCTACCGGGCCATGGGCAAGGTCCTCGCGGCCCGGGCCTTCCTCACGGACACCCCGGCGGAGGTAATGCAGCTCCCGGTCCAGGACGTGGCGGACTCCAAGGAACAGATGATCCTCCGGGCGGTATGTGATGAGCGCATATCGGTCCCGGTGGAGAGTCTCCAGCAGTTCCCAGAGGTGTACCAGGCCCTCATGGACCGCATTGGAGGCCCGGGGGCCCTGGCAGATGTGAAAGTCAACTGGCGCTGCAACACGAAGCAGTGGTGGGTCGGCGCAGTCCCCGACTCAGTGGCCCCCTCCATCTACCGCAAGCTTGGCTACACCAACGACATGATCAAGCTGATGGGCCTGGACCCCTCCGCCCCCGGGTGCCGGACAGGTGCCGATGGCCCTGACATCCGCCCCAGGGGAGGAGAGGGCGATGAGGGGATCGTCTACCCCCCCATCACATCGGACAACGTCCACGGCGTGGGGGGCAAGGAGTACAAGAAGAAGAACTTCTCGGCAGAGACGAAGCACGTCTTCTGGGCGCACATGGAGTGCGGCCTGGTTCTGAGCTCAGTCACCCCATGGGAGCACATCCCCAAGACGAAGGGGGAAACCCGGGGGGGCTATATGTGCAAGTACTGCAAGGGGTACTGGCGCGCCGGGGGAGGGGGCACTCGCCTCCTCCAGATCCGGGCCGGCAAGGCCATCCTTCAGCTGGTGCTGGACGAGCCGCCCGATGGACTGTACAACCGCTGGGTCAAGGAACGGCTGGAGTTCTACCGCCGGGTAGAGCCGTCTGCCCCGCTGCGGGATGTCTCCGTGGTGGATCAGAAAGTCCCACGATTTAGGTTCAGCCACGTCACCCAGACCGGCCATGTCTCAGATGCCATCTGGGAGCTGATTCTCCGGAACCCGGAGGCGGCGGCGCTCAAGCGCATTGACGACATTGCCAAGGGGGCCGTGTGATCATGCAACCCTGCGGCCATCCGGAACGGAATTGCAGGGCACCCCGGGGGAGGACAGCTGCCGATGGCGCTGATATCCCCCCCGGGCACAGCACAGGCCTTGGCCTGCACCAGGCGAGAAAAAGGGGCGCGCTTGGGCTGGTCCGGAGTGCGCCTGGGCTCCCCCCCCCCCCCTCGTTTGGTTTTCCCTTTCCGTGGAGGCTCCCCGGGTCCCCCCCCCCCCCGTTTTCGGGTTTGGCTTTCCGGGGTTTTTGGGGCCGCCCGGGTTTCACTTTCCGGAGTGGATGTGGGCCTCCAACGTCCGGCTTCGCGAAAAGACCCCGGACCCGTCCAAGAAGCGATCTGCCGCATGCATTGAGTGAAAGAGAGACCCGGGAAGAGGACTTGGGGCCCCCCGGGGCCTTTTCCCGGGTCTCTCTTTTGAAGTGCGTGCAAGGCGCCCTGAGATTTGGCTCCGGGCTCGAGTGGATCATGATGATGTGGAGGCCCCGCCTCCCTTCCCCGTTTGGAACGACCT